CCCTCTCTGGAGCCATTCAACACCTACCTGGATGTGTTCCTGTGTCAGCTGCTCTGCGTGACCCTGCCTCAGCAAGGGGGCTGGACTGGATGATCTGCAAAAGTCCCGTCCAGCCTTAACGATTCTGTGTTGCCGTGTTTTTTCTTTTATTCTAGTTTGCCCAAAGCCGGGAATCAGGAGGTAACCCACGAAAGGCTGGCTCTGTGATCATCAAACCTCTACACTATTTATACCTTTTAACAAACCAAGGTGTCAGCATTTGTTAGCTGTAAGTTATACCACTTTTCTCCTAATTAGCACTCAAACCCTATTTTCTAGTTGTGTGTCTTGCTTCTCCATGAGAAGAGCCCTTTTGGTCTGCAGGCGTGGTTTTGCCTCCCTTGGGTCAGGGTGTGGTGGAATTGCCTTCCCTCAGTCAGCTCCTGGCATCCTGACTTCACTCCTGGCAGATCTCATCCAGAGAGTCCCTGCATCTTGGGATTCTCTTCTCTTTTCCTCAAAGCAAAAGACGAGCCAAGTATGCAACATTCACAGTGTGATTGCTTAATCATAACTGTTCAGCTACAGCTTCTGATTAACAACTGGAAAAAAAAAAATTGCAAAGTTTGGTTCAAATCTTGAGACCTCAAATCTTGAGGGCCCCAAATCTCAAAGGGCTTGCTGCCAGCCTGACCTCGGCGCCGGTGGCACAGCAGGAGGGTTGGGAGGCCAGCAGGCAGGACCAGCCATCAGGGGTCATTGTGGCTGCACCCACATCACTCCCCAGGGTGGCACATGCAATTAATTCTGTGGAAAATATCCACCAAAAATGATCCAATCTGTCTCACAGCGACAGCAAAGTGTCTGATGCTCTGGGGTGTTGTGGGCCAGGCTTCAGCTCCTGCAGCAGAAGGCAGAAATCTCATCTGGGCCTGGTAGGATGTACACCATTTCTATGCAGAAAAGCCCGTTTTCAGAAAGTGATGGAAATGCCCAGTATGTACCAGCTGAAATTGCTCCTGTCAATACCCAAAACAGAGTTATAAATGTGACATTTCCCTTAGCAGTCTTTTGTGTAACAAACCTTTGTGCCACACAGAATGTGAACAGTATGTCCATTTTTCATGTATCAGTATCTACACAGTGGTGGTATCCCCTGACACCCCCCATAAAAATTATATAAATACTGGTACAAGCCAAAGACCTGCAAATGAGAAATGGCATAGTCATGCCCTCCCAGTGCAGTCATGGTTAATTTTATCCTGACGTTCCAGCTTGTGAAAGTGTGGACTGACCTTGTAGAATTCTCCTCCAGGAGGATAAACTGAGTAAGGAAGAAATTATTTCTTGTGAGGGTGCTGAGATGCTGGAACTTGGAAGTTATGGCTGGACCATGACTGGAAGTGTTCAAGGTCAGGTTAGATGGGGCTTTGAGCAACCTGACCTTATGTTTCTGGTGAAGGATAAAGAAAGAGGTGATTTTTTTCCATTCTGCAACTGCTGCCTGGTATGAGCTGGAGGACAAAGGAAAGGAAAGCTGCAAGGAGGAGAAAGGAAACATGACTGGCTTCTGTTGACACTCAGGTTCTGTCTGGTGCACTGTGTCCATGGGAGAGGCCTCCAGGAGAGGAAGAAAACTGCATCAGGTCTGTTTCATTGAGTGTCATCAGACCACACAACAGGAAGGGTGTCAGGAAGGAACATGTCAGGTACATCAGGCTGATGCCTTTTTTAGCCTGTGGACTTGGTAATGTTAGGTTTAGAGTTGGACTCAATGATTCTAAAATTCTCTTCCAACTTAAACAATTCTGCAATTCTCTGGTGTAGTGAAGGTGTGCCTGCCAGCAGTAGGGGGGTTGGAAATTAATGCTCTTTTAAGTCCCTTCCAACCCATATTCTTCTCTGATGCTAAGAGCTGATGTTTACTTGGCTGTTGTGGATCTCACTTCTTGTGGGTATTGGTGCCAAGATCCAGATTTTCTATTTTTATACAGGCTGTGGCTGGGATGAAAGTAGTTGTCTCCATAGCAGCCTGTATGAGGCTGTGTTCTGGATTTGTGACTAAGAACATTGGTTACACAGCAGTACTTTAGCTGTTGCTGAGGAGGGGTTGCCAGCATCAAGGTTTTATTTTTGTCCTTTTTCTCCTGCATTCACTGCCAGTGAGTAGGCTAGAGGCAAGTAAGAGGCTCTGAAGGAACAAAGGGAGTCACATCTGATCCCAGCTGACCACACCAATATTCCATACCAGACTGCATTCTGCCCAGCACCAAAAGCTCTGGGAAGAAGATGAGAAAGTGGGGACATTCATGGTTATGGCATTTGTTTTCCCAAATAACTATTAGTGTGCCAAAGCTCTTCTTGCTGATAGGGAATTGTGAATAAATTCTTTATTTTGCTTTCTGGGTGTGGCTTCACTTTATCTCCTAAGCAGTCTCCATCTGAATCTATGTCTTCTCATTTTTGCCTTTACTCTTTCCTGTCCTACGTGAGTGGGGGCAAACAACAATAAGGTTGTTTATCTACCTACCATATTTGTCTAGAAGGCCTGAATCCTAGTGGGAATGGAATGGGAGCAACCTGGGGCTAAAGCTTTGCTTAAGAGCAGACTGAAGTAAAGCTGGTGGTTAAGATAGGATGCTAAGTAGTTTTGTGTTATGTAATACAAAAGCCTTGGAGCACTGAAGTGAGGTCAGCTTTGGAAGCAGGCCTCCCCCATTCCACAGGGTGTAAGCAAGGTGAGCCTGGGGCAGCAGTCATCCCCAGGCAGGATGACAAAGTATGGAACTGTCAGTGCTAGGGGGGTCACTGGATGCAGTGTCACCACTCTGCAGGGCAAGGTGGACCTGACAAGAACATGAACTTGCCCTGAGGCAAGACAGGATCCCAAACCATCGTCTTTTTTCAGCAGGTATAAACCTGCAATATAAACCTTCCCTAACCAAAGCCAAAGGAGGAAGAAGATATGACCTTGAAAATGGTAAGCCATGTCCTAAAGGAGATGGGAGAGGATCACAGATCTGAAAAACACTCTGAATAGTAGCCAGAGCTCTCACTGCACCCCAAAAGGCAGCTGGAAGGAGTAAGACAGGCCCTCTACTACAGCTTGTCCCAGGGCTCATATGGTATTTTTTCATACGGTATTCACCATATGAGCAAGGTTCACATCAAGCACAAAAATTGTCCAGGGTCTGTGCACTGACACACCCAGTGGACTTGTACACTCTGAGAAAGGAACTGGTGTCCCACAGCACTCTTGTCCAGGAATCGTTGTGCCTGCCTAGGAATGCCTGTGCTGGAGCCTGGCAGAGCCACATCCCCCCAGGCCAGCACCTGCTGTACCAGGCTTCTGGTACCACAGCCACGTCAGGGTGCGTGTGGTGTGCATCCCTGTGCTGGAGCTGCTCCCTCCATCAGGAAGGTTCAGTAGTGCTCAGTTCACTGACAGCACCTCGCAGCAGCTGGGGAAATCCAAGTGGGCAACAACTGTGTGGCTAGAAGCAGCTGGGGCTGCAGTGCTTGCAAGCCTCACAGTGCTGAAACTTCCACACCAGGCAGCAGAAGGGGACTGGTGTCTTACAGGGTAAAATAGATTCAGCACACAGAGGAGAAAGGAGGTGAAGAGAGAAGCAAAGTGGTACCAGAGTCAAACACACTGTTTCATATGTTCTTTTTTAATTCTAGGGTTTTAAAAGATTTGGGAATTATTTCACCATTATCAATGGTGAAAGTACAACACTGAAGTTACAGCAATTCTAGAAATTTGATTCTAGACAGGTGGTTTGATTTTGCCAAACAAGCCCCAGCAGAAGGTATCTCTAATGCTGCAGTGAGTTAGTTCTCCCCCTTGGGCAAACTGCCTAATTAAGCTTTGAGGAGAATAAATGAGTGCCAACAGGCTTCTCCAAACAAGGGGAGAAGTTCTGGTGTCACAGCCCTGGCTGTGTTTAG